TGAACGCTTTAGCAAATCTCTCATACAACAGTGTTCTGGGGATAATACAGGGCTACAGGGGAAGAAGAGATATTGTTCCTTAAACACTCAAAACATGTTTCCATATCAAGTTATGCGCTGCTTGCCTTTGTCCTCTCTGCCTGTAATACTCTCCCCTCCAGATATCTGCATGGCGTATCTCTGAACTTCCTTGACATCCTTATTCAGATGTCACCACTTTGTGAATCTTTTATCTCTCCATTTTTCTACCCGGAGAACCAGGTTCTAGTATACCTCCAGTAGCAAGAACAAAAGCAGGTCTTTGCTGAAACTCTGCCACCTGGTGTTCTGCTAAAATACTCTGTGACATTGGCCAGCTCTGCCCTCCAGGGATGACAGACAAGTTAAATAGTGGTGAAGACTAATCCCACTGGGAGCCACCTCGGCTGAATCAAAGTCAGTAAACTTCCCATCGCAGTAATCATTCAAGAGAAGAAGAGGAGGGCTGGCTGATTTTTAATCTTTTGCCTAGCCAGTTGTAAAAGTGATTCACTTCAAATGATAAATATAATACGTGGGATGATTTGGGATGGAGAGCAATAGGCTATCATGGAAATAAAGCTTGGCATTGTTGCAGAGGTTGGGAGGTTTTTCTTTGTTAAGTGAAATTGTGTTTACTGCTCTGTCCTTTATTGTAGTGTGGAAATATCCTGAGAAGCAGGAGCAAGAGTCAATGATGGAAAAAAATAATAATTGCATTGTAGGGAATCATGCTTGATTTACTCTGTTCATGTTATAACATGCCACCCAAACTCCCAATACGACATCATAATGCCCTGACATCCCATTAACGTTAAGAAACATGATAGACCAGTGATACTTACAGTAATACCTGAAATAGGCTATGGAAATTACAAAACACACCTCAGAAAATACTAAGCTTTATCTTGTCAATAAACTCCACTGCAATTTCAGATTGTGTCTCCCAACTCTTCAAGATTTTATACATTACATGCATCTGGTTGAGTGCCTAAGGTTATTATACTAGGTGATTTGCATGTGTGTTCTCATTTAATTCTTATTGGAACAGGTCAAGATTGGCTGCATCATCCTTTCAGGAGGCAGTGTAGCTATATGCTTGAGACCGTAAACCTGGGTTAGATTTCTAAATCTTCCATTCATTAGTTAAGATCTTAGGCAAATTACTTAATAATTTTTATGCTTAAGTTTCCTCATCCCTACAGCATGGGTACTGGTGGGAAGTAAATGAGATGATGCATGCTAAACCTCAGCCCAGTGCCCAATAGAAAGACACTGGCTACTTATAGAAAAGAAACTTGAATATAAGAGAAGTTAAATACCTTGCCATGTAAGTGACAGAGTGGAGGCTTCCCTCCATATCCTATGTAGAGCAGATAACTTTTCCTCGCCCCAAAAGTAATTTTCTATTTCAGTATAGTATTATATATTCTTTACAGTGCTCATCACTATTTAAAATTACGTTATTGTTAAACCTGTTTATTTAATTTTTTTTCTTTTCCCACCGTACCTTGGGCCTTTTCTATCCTCTTCACCACTGCTTCTTCCCTGCCTGAATAATGCCTAGCCCAGAGGAGGTACAATCAATATATATTTGTTGAATGAATATGCAAAACATGAAATTACAGATGACCCTTGAACAAGGCGAACACTGGAGACACGGAGCCCCGCACAATTGAAAATCCGTGTTTTTAAATTTTGACTCACCAAAAAACTGCTGAGAGCCTGCTGTTGACCAGAAGCCTTACTGATAACAGTCAATTAACATATATTTTGCTTGCTATATACATTATATACTCTATTATTACAAAACTAAGCTAGACAAAAGAAAATGTTATCAAGAAAATCATAAGAATGAAAAAATACATTTACTGTATTTATCGACACTGTAAGTTTACATTGTCCATTTACAAGATAAGTTGTCTGTCGGTATCTACATCGATATTGTCTGATAGGATACAAAACACCATAGAAGCGATACATATTTCTGACATTAGACATCAAAAGTGAAATGATAATGTGAAAAAGAAATTCATATTTATTTACAGGTATAACAGCTCATGCATTGATAATGAAGCAGCAGCAATATGATTGCTTTGTGGAAATCTAGTGTAATTGATATGACTGCTTCCCAATCATAGTGTGTAGCCTTTGCATATAGCCATAGTGTAATGATATGACTCATCATCACTAGGGTATAGCCTAGCCTCTACACTGATGAACGAATCATTATAAAATTTTTATGGCATACAGCATTATAGTCATATTTATAATACAGTATTGGAAACATGGTTACATTTTTAAAAAACCATTTACCTAATCCACAGTTTTTCCAATAAAGAGAGAGAGAGACATACTTTACAATAATGCAATTCTTTGAAAGCAAAGTGATAAAACGGTAAGAAAACTAGTGTATTACTAATTTTATATGAACTATCACTTACCTATGCCTATATAAGGATAGGCTGTGAATGGTTCCGTGTACAGTTAAGTATTTGTGTGTGTAAGTTTTGATCAATTTTGACTTTTATAATACATTGGTGTATATTTTATAGTAGTAAATGGTAAAATAGACTAGTATCTTCATATATTTTGTGCATTGACATATCTTTTTCTTAATTTTTCCCATATTTCTAGTCTATCCAGTTCATCTGCAAGTTTTCCAAATTATTGTAAATTCCCCACAATTTTCCAATATATTTATTGAAAATAAACCTCTATGTGGTCCTGCACAGTTCGAACCTGTGTTGTTCAAGGGTCCACTGCATGTCTAGAGTCCTTGTGATTCCAGTACTAATGTAAAGGATCGAGCTGGACTAATTCTCCATGGTTTTTTTAAATTTTTTATTTTTTATAAACATATCATATATTTTTATCCCCAGGTGTACAGGTCTGTGAATTGCCAGGTTTACACACTTCATGTTTTTTTATCTGGAATTGTCAAGATTTCTACCCTGCAAGTCGTTTAAGGCACGATTTAATCTACGCAAGGTATTGGTAGATTGGTCAGTTGGCGGGGCTTCTATTTCAGGCAAAATAGGCAGTGATAGCTTGCAGAGTTGGCCTTACTGGGTATGGGAATACTCCCCCTGTTCCAGGTATGCCTTTCTTGTTAAGGATGCTGTCCCTCCAACGTGTGAGTGAACTTAGCAGTGGATCAGTATTTTCATCAGATACAAACTTCACAGCAAGTTGTCTTTCTGAGTAGTGAGGCCAGGTGCTCCCTCTCACTGAACCATCTGAATGCCAGGATCCAAAGAAAAAAGGAGCTTGACTTGGAATGGCCTTTGTTTATCGCACAGCCCACCCCTAGCCCTAGCCCTTACACTTCTGAATCATGAGACATTTCCAGGATTTCTTTCATTAACCACAAATGCGTCTCTTTTCTTAGAGAGGAAAACTCTAAGTTAACCATCGAGATGCCTTTGCAGCCTATTCCATTTTTCAGAATATGGTTTGAGTATGTGGAAGGCACTCTCTTCTAGTATTAGCCACTAATAAAATGCTGTTTCCTTTGCTTATTTTAGTTTTTCATAGAAAAGGTTTGAAGTCAACTTATAGCACTAATTCCCCAGAGGTAGATGTATATTCTGAATAATCTTAATTAATGCTATCTTACACTATTAAATTTTTCCTGAACATATCTTGTTTCTCCAACACATTTTCACAGACAGCAGAGAATGTTGCTTTTGTAATTTTCAGAGCTTGGAGGGAAATTCTAGACACAAAAATCACTGTTTAAGCAAATATGTGTCTGTTAAATCAAACTAAAATTATACCTGGACTATGACACAAGCAAGACAGACCATAATTACTATTTACTTTTTTAAACAGCTTTATTGAAGAATAGCTTAAGTTTCATAAAATTCATCCATTTTGAATTTATAGTTCAATGGCTTTTAGTAAACTAACTGACTTATGAAACCGTTACAATAGTCCCTTTTTCATAAACATTTTATCACCCTCAAAAGATCCTTCATTCCAATTACATTGAATCCTTGTTTCCATCCCTAGTCAACCACTGAATCTACTTTATCTCTCTCTAGGTTCCTCTTCTGAATAGTTAATATAAATGGAAAGATTGAATAGGTTCCCTCTTGTATCTGGCTTCTTTCTCTTAACATATTTTTTAGATTCATCTATGTTGAAGCATATAGTAGTATTTAACTCCTTTTTATTGTTGAATAGTATTCTGTTGATGAATATGCCACATTTCATTTATCCATTTTCCAGTTGATGGATATTGGGGTTTTCCCTCATTTTTGGCTATGAGGAAAAATAATCGCAATATAGTTGCCCGTCATTTTTAGAACATATATTCTCTAACATTTTAATCATTTACAGGGCATCACAAATGTAGGTGGCATGACAGATTCCAAAATCATAGACTCCAGAGCGAGATAGATTTATGTTCTCATTCTTATTATGCCACTTACCAGATGTTTGACCTTGAGTTAATTAAACTCTTTGAACTTTAGTTTCCTTGTTTGTACACTGCGAATAATAATACTCTTGTGTGATTTTTGTATTAGTTTAGCACCTAGTATGGATAAACATTCACAATCTGGGGTGATTTGCAAGTTCTATTTTTTTTTTTTAATTCATAGAAAGATTTCTAGCCAAAACGCTTCTCTTAACCCCTAGATTGCTATGCACCTGCCACTCTCTCTGCAGCTGAGTAATGGCAGTCTGTGATGAAACAGATGAAACAGCCGACTTCTGAAGGGCTGTCAACTCTCTTTTTGTTACGAACCCATGGGGATTTCTTCAATGCTTGTGAAGCTAGCTGGACTCAAGACAACAGTTTGAACCCCAGGAAACTGAATCTAGGGCAGAGTTGGTTGGTGTGTTTCCAGGGCATTTATATGAACTTGTCTCTGATTGGCTGGGCAACCAGATGCAGAATTCTGTTTTCTGAAGCAGAATATTCCACAGATCTAGGCTACGGTCGTTTCCTCTGCTGAGATCCTTGCACGGGATAAATGGAGAAGAGTCCATTGGCAGCCTTGCTGCTAATCCTGTGGGTTCACATTGGCGGTAAGTCCTTGGAATTTGGAAGACCTTTTGAACGTGGATGATGACGGAGAAGCGGGGTGTGGGGGGGATGCGGTCAGGCACCTGTAGGTTTTACTTGGGAACGTGTGAAGAAAATGGAAACTGTAGAGAGACCAACTTCTGTGTCTGACTCTGTCTTTCTCAACAGGAGTGGGCAGCGTATCGAATGTGGAGCAGAATCCTCCATGGCTGCATGTTCAGGAAGGAGAGAACACCAATTTCACCTGCCGTTTTCCTTCTAGCAATTTCTACTCTTTACACTGGTACAGATGGGCACCTGCAAAAAACCCCACGTTCCTAATTTCAGTTACTTTAAATGGGGATGAAAAGAGGAAAGGACGAGTAAAAACCACTCTTAATACACAGGAGGGTTATAGTTCCTTGTACATCAGAGGATGCCAGCCTGAAGATGCAGCCACGTACCTCTGTGCCATGACACAGTGCTCTTCAGACAGCTGCAGCCCATACCAAAACCTGCGGCTGATGCTGCTCTGGCACCAGCATTGACAGGACCATGTGTGGGGCACCTGAGTGGTACAGCTGGTGAAGCCTTGACTCTTGGTTTCAGCTCAGGTCCTGATCTCATGGTCATGAGATCCAGCCTCAGGTCCCGGTCAGTGCTCAGGAGTCTACTCGAGATTTTCTCTCCCTCTCCCTCTGTTCCTCCCACTCATGCTCTTCCTCTCTCTTAAATAAAAAATAAGTCTTAAAAAGAAGAGCCATGTGTGGGTAGAAAAGCCAAATTCATTGAATTATAGTGTTTTCAATAATCAGGGGAGAGTGCAGACATAGATAAACAAGTCTTCTAGTCATTGTAGCTCCCTCAACTAACTGGACTGTTACTGAGCACCACGAACCTCAACTCCCAGCAATATATCAGCCACATCACTGAGTTAGATCCCTTGCCTCCTCTTTTGGCACAACCAATTCCAAATGAACTAGATGGTTACTCCGCCCTATCTAAAATAATCTGGTTAAATAGGGTAATATTTACTCCTCATTGTTGCTATGTCTAGTCATTCTGTCATATCTCTTCACATGTGTGAATGGAGCATGTGAAGATGCACTCTTCTCACTGCTGGCATGGAGATCTACATGTTTCATACCAGAACAGGCAATACTGCCTCTGTTAACCCATTGAAGGTTTTAGTTTTGGTTCAGTTCAACCTTTCCCCTACATGAACATCTGGATTTCATTCCTTCTTATATGTGGCTATTTGCATTTTCGGCCATTTGCATTTATTTATTTTACATAGCCTCCATGGTCAGTGTGTAGCCCAACATGGGGCTTGAACTCAGGACCCTGAGATCAAGACCTGAGCTGAGATCAAGAGTTGGCCAGTCATCCCTGGCCATTTGTATTTTTTAAAAATCACTTGTGAAATCTGAAAGGAGAACTGGTAAGCGATGTTCACTAGGACACTTGGTCTGTCCTCCAGCTTATACTGTGATTGTGATAAGTACCTGAATGCTGTGATGATCTATGTTTCTTCATTTGTAATTTCCAGGCATAGGAGGTGAATGGAGTATCTGAGACATACATATGGAAAGATTGTTTTTCCAAAAATCATTCACAGAGTAATAATAAATTTATTTCACCATCTGACTAGGAGTGGTTGAATCTGTTATGTCATTGGCATGTGTGTAGAATAGGAAATGTGCAGCACAACACTGAATGAGGAGAACCTACAGTCCACTGCACACTAGTGTTGGTGGAGTAAAACTACACAGAAGAAGACCAGTCGCTGTTCCAACTGTGGGTCAGCTTCCCAAACAAGATCTCCATCATTATTGGCATAAAGATCAATGGTAGGAATTTCTAATATTTTCAGTAATGATCCTGTGGCTTTAGCTAACTGAATTGGTAGAAACAAAAGACAAAGAAAGTCGTCAAGGACAGAGTTGGGTTCATTTGTGCGTTGTTGCAATACAAGACTTCACAGGCTTTTCTATGTAATAGACCATAGAGAAGTAGATAATATTTACACAGTGCTTCCAAATAGAATGCCACTTGAAACTGGTCCATGACTCCCACTTACCTGGGCCCCTTGCTTGTCTTTGGATGTGAGGCAAGAAAGCTCTCTAGACACATGTGATCAATTCCTGGATACAGTAGCACATAATTTGGAAAATCTACTGTTAAAAGTATGGGGGGAAATGTAAAATCTGGAATGCAGAGTCCTTACAAAAAAAAATCCATGTCTTTACAAAAGTCGTGTGTAACCAAAGAAATATGAATCAAAATTCTCAGTCTCTGTTCTAAAGTTGATCTGAAATTGAAAATAAATCTGTTAAACTTTGATTATTCACAGAAATACAGGCACGTTCTTGTAAACAGCCCCACAGTTTTGGGGGGGGTGTTTGTTTTTTAGAGTTTAGTAAATGGAATGAGAAAACAAGTGAAGTATAAAAATGACATTGAACAAGAAAACCTTCCATCTCCCTGTTTGTTTTAGGGCCCCAACTTGAACAATTAGCCACCTGTTCCTGGGCTGTGGAGACCCAGAGCTCACATTACACCCCAACACTGTCACCACGTCTTCTGTGCCAGAGCAGGAGCCCGAGGACCATATTCGAAAAGAAGTTTGGTGAAATAGGCAGCTGTTCCACGTTGAGCTATTAGAGACCATCAGGAATCAGATAGTGGAAAAACATTTTAATTCTTGCCAATTTCCCCCAAGTCCTCAACAAGAATCTGCAAAGGACTTCAGTGCCACCCGTAGTTTGGGCATAACAAACCGCCCCAAAACTCAATGGTTTTAAACAGCTACCATATTACTATCTCATAATACTTCTGCTCCATGTGACATCTGAGGATCGACTGGACTGAAACACCCCAAATTGCTCACTGATGTGTCTGGAGCCTTAGAGAATGCCCGGAAGGCCGGGCTCAGCTGTGCCTCAATTAAAATGAGTCACAAAACTTGCCTAGATTCACTGTGGAGGGGGAGCATAGAATTCAGGAAGCACTGACATTGGGGGCATCTTGCCAAAAAGCTAAAGGAATAAACACATTCCTTATGACAGATAGGTACCAGAGTGTTAATGAAGCAAAACACATATCCAATAATTTTCAAGGTCATGTCAGTTTGACCTCTCAAGTAGCACTCATAGCCATTTCCTTATCTTTATGCTCCTGCTACTGTCCTAATTCAGGCTTTCAGCATCTCTCACTTGGATGATTGCTATGGCCTCTTATACATGTGCTGCCTCTAGTCTCAACTCTTTGAATCTCACCACACAGCCTCTAGAATTATTAAAAATATATATATTTGATCAGATCACTTCTTGTTAATCTTTGGGTAATGAGGAACCATTAGAAGTTGTAAAGATCAATCTTATATTAAAATATATGAAGCCATTTATCGTTTTCCCCCAAGTTATCTTCCTTTTTTAAATTTATTTTAAAAAAATTTTTTTATTTATTTGGGAGAGTGAGAAAGGGAAAGAGTGAGAAAGGGAGAGAGTGAGAGAGAGCACGAGAGAGCACAAACAGAGGGGAGGAAATTTGCTCGATCCCAGGACTCTGGGATCATGACCTTAGCCGAAAGCAGTCACTTAACTGACTGAGCCACCCAGAGATTCCCTCTAGTTATTTTCTAATTTCACCTTCCATGCTCTCTCACTATGTACTCCAGATGCATATTAACTATTTAAAAATTCTAACCATTTGTGCACACACTGAACTCTTTCTTAAATCTGTGCCTTTGCAGATGCTGCCCCCTTTGCCCAAATTATACCTTCCCTATTGTCAAATGCACACAAATCTATGCGTCCAATGTGTCCCAGTTCAGACAGCATTCTTGATTTCTTTTTTTTTATTTTTTTTACTTTTTAAAAAAGATTTTATTTATTTATTTATTTGAAAGAAAGACAGTGAGAGGGGGAACACAAGCAGGGGAGGTGGAAGAGGGAGAAGCAGACTTCCCACAGAGCAGGGAGAATGATGCGGAACTGGATCCCAGGACTTTGACCTAAGCCCAAAGGCAGACCCTTAAAGACTGAGCCACCAAGGCATCCCTGGCATTATTGATTTCTTATCTGAAGGATATCCTCTCATAGGATAACACATAACATTTTAGTAAAAATAAATATTCTTGAATCTATCCTCCCTTCTGATAGCTTTAACAAGAATATTTGCTACTTTGAGCTATCTTATATTTATATTCAGTGCAAGCATTTCCTACCAGGAGTGAAGAGATTCCTTCTACTCCTTATGCCAATGCATGGTCAGGTCCTCTTCTCCTCACTTAGCAAATTTCTACGTCAGGCTGATGAACCCAGAGAGAGGTTACACCAGAGACTACAGTGTGTGTTGGGGGAGAGCACAAGACTTCCCTGTGCCAGGTTACACTTCTGTAACATTCTGTGACAGAACGATGAATACACTCGCAGGTGCCCCTTCCCCACTCTCTGCTCTTGGGGATGGAAAGGAGTCCACCACCACAGCACTGATAGTTTTGTCTTCATTTTGGGACCCAGGTCCAACACTCCTGTTGGGAAGAAAAAGTATTCCATAGTGTGCATGTCCAAAGGTTTATCTTAACCCATGGGATTTTCATTTTCTGGCACATCCAGAGACTGCCTCTTGTTCTGTTTCCATATTACACATCGATTCAAATTCAGATCCACCTTTGATTCTAAATGAAGTGTTGAGATTTCTACTATTAAAACATTTACATGGCAATACTTCAAAGACATGAGAACTCCTATAGGGGCCTAACCGCTGGGCCCCCAAAAGATAAGCCCACTTCTTAATCCACGGACACTGTGAATGTAACCTGATATGACAAAGAGCCTTGCAAATGTACTTAGGTTAAGAATAGCAATATAAGATCATCCTGGATTATCCCTGTGGTCATAAATCATAAATGACAAGTGTCCTTTTAAGAGACACACAGATGAGAAGGCCTTGTGATGCATTCTTGCTGGAGGTAAGAGTTTGGAGTGATGCAGCCCCACGCCAAGGAGTGCTGGAGACACCAGAAGCTGGAGGAGGCAGGGAAGGATCCTCCCCTAAAGCATTCAGAGGGAGTACTGCCCTGCTGACACCTTGATTTCATGCTCCTAGCATCCAGCACTGCTAGTAAATAAGATTTTGCTCTTTTGAGCCACCACATTTGTGATAGTTTGTTATGGTAGACCTAGGAAAAGAATACAGTTTCTCCCCCAAAGTAACATTTCTTAGAACATGAGGAAGGGGGGTGCAGAGGGAAAAACAGACTTCCCACTGAGCAGGAAGCCCTACCTGGGCCTCTGTCCCAGGACCCCAGGATCACAACCTGAGCTGAATCCAGATGCTTAACTGACTGAGCCAACCAGGCACTCCTCCAAACTAACATTTCTAAATAGCTATAACCAACCCTTGATTGTTTACCTTCATGGAAGGATACGTATAGATTGGTCTTTGGAAAATTTTGAGTTCAAACTTTCATATATTGCATATGAAAGCAACACATTAATTTATCATTTAACAAATATTTCAGTTTCAACTCTTTGCCAGGTGT